CTGGGGGGGGGGGGCACATGCCCCCCCAACTAAGGTGACACCAGTCGCCCATGGTAGTACTGCAAATGAGGTAGTTAGCATTTAGTGATGCTAATTAATTAGTCAACCCACACTACCACACAAATACAGCTGTGCTGTTTCCTGTAAGGAAGACCACATGTGGAACAGCACAGCACGTTCAGTGTTCTGCTGCATAGCACAGTAACTTTGTGGCATGGGCATCTGTTTAGATCAATGGTTCTCAGCCTTTTTAGGCTCAAGGCACCCCTGGATAGATTCAAGGAACCCCTTGGAAAATGCCAGCACTTAGTTTTCATTGGTTCATTTGACTACAAAAACAAAACAAAACCCACAACAGGTCAAAATGTTTTAACACCCTGGATTTTTTTCTTGAAATCTCTGGGTTTAGCTTGTGAATCATATCAGCACTGCCTAGCTCTCCATGACACCCTTGAAAGGATCTCAAGGCACACCAGAGTGCTGTGGCACCCTGGATGAGACTCACTGCTTTCAATGACAGGGTTGTTGAGGCTCACAATCTTGGATTTAAATAACTAAATTAATCCTAAATTACACTTCAGGCACTGGAGGGCCCCTCTACATGTGCAGGTTAAGGCTCAATAGGATCTAATGTGAGAGCCACACAGTTGCATCTCCTGCTACACCATGCATGCACAGCAGGAGGTATGACAGGGATCACACGTTAGATCCCATTATGCCTTATTACCGGTGCATGGGGAGCCTGATCTTGGGCTCTCCCTGAGCTGGCAAGAAATAAGCTTCCACAGCTGGGATCCCCCTCATTTGGAAGCCCTGAGTTTCATGCACCTCTGAGGCTGAGAGACTGTAGCAGCTGTGATTTTCCAGACCCAGGGATGCAGGGGGCCCTTGAGGCTTGAAGACCACAGCAGCTATGTTCTCCCAGCCCTGGGGGCTCCACACACCCCTGGGCCTGGGAGATTACAGCTGCACCCCATGCTGCCAGGACCCAACATTGACAGCTACAGGGTTCTGCTGGGACCCAGAGTCAGCAGTAGCTGGACTTGAGAGTCCCCTTAGTTGTGGGACTTCCAGCCCCACTTAGGCATGATGCACCCATCAGCCGATGGGGCTCTCAGCCACAGGGGATACTCTGCTACATGTGCAAATTAAAGCTTGATAGCAGCCAGTACACACTTTCAAGCTCTAACATAGCTGGTTGGAGCTTTTTATGGCATGATAAGTATTTTGCACGTGTAGTTTTTTGCAAGGAAATTGCACAATTAACCAGTTAATTGCACAATACCTTTAACATGTAGAAGGGGCCTAAGTCCTTCTGTGATTGTGGGGCCTTATTCATGATGCCAGATGATTTCCATGAGATCTTTATTCCCGGCTCCAAAACAAGGTTTTATTTTGTTAGAGACTTAGAACAGCAGAGCCATACAGTGCCACATCAATTAAGTATGGTGCCTGGGGCAAAGCCCACAGCAGCAACCCACCCTCACCCCACACA